AGGAGGAGGAGGAGAGAAAGAAAGCATACGAGGAGAAGCGCAAGGAAGCAAAGCAGAAGCAGGAGGAGGAGACGAGAAAGAAGGCAGAGGAGGACAAGCGCAAGGAAGCACAGGAAGAGGAGAAGCGCAAGGAAGCGAGCGCCAAGGAGGCAGAAAAGAGGAAGCAGGAGGAGGAGGAGAGAAAGAAAGCAGACGAGGAGAAGCGCAAGGAAGCAAAGCAGAAGCAGGAGGAGGAGACGAGAAAGAAGGCAGAGGAAGTGGCAGCCAAGGAGGCAGAAAAGAAAAGGCAGGAGGAGGAGGAGGAGACAAGAAAGAAAGCAAAGGAGGGCAGGCTCAAGGAAGCACAGGAAGCGGCGGCCAAAAAGAGGAAGCAGGAGCAGGAGAAGGACAAGTGCGAGGATCCCAGGACTAAGGAGGCAGAAAAGAGGAAACACGTGGAGGACATGGCGCAGCTTGAGGAGCAGGCTGCAAAAGCCAAGAAGGCCGCCAAGGACGATGGACGAAAGGCGACGAAGTGAGATAGCTCTCTCAGTGGCAAGTTTGGGCAGCTTGTTGCTACAATCTCAAGAGATTTTCCTCGAGTACACGATGGAGGTGTTGGACGTGTAAAGTGTGCCTCTCTGTGATATCAGTGTGGACCAGTGGACCTCTCATCTCTGTGTGACTCATCTTTTGCGCCGCAGTGCTGCCATCAAGATGGTTTGTGCTGTGCATGCTTCTGTCCAGTTCTTAGTGCTGAGAAAAGCTTGGAAGAGTATAGGCTGGGTTGCAGGCATAGGCCGCATAACGTGTCGCAGTCTGCAGCGCTGGAGCTGGACATGGAGTTCCCGGCTCCCGGTGCCGGGCCGGTGCCAGGCTAGGCCAGGCGTTGATGTGCACTACGTTGTTTACAGTTACAGTTTGCAACCTATGCCTACGTCCTACGTCGCCTACATCAACGTCAACATCATTCATTATCAATTATCATATTTATTTTCTCGTTTATACTGCATCTGATCTGATCATAAAGTCACAAAGTCATATCGGTATATCGCTCGCCTAGCGATTGAGTAGTGCATGATTCCTGATGCCTATCCTGGCGTGCCGTTGATTTCTTCGTGACTTCGTGAGTGAGTCAAACAAACCTGACTCCAGACTCCAGCCAGCCAGCTTGGCGCTAAAATATCTTTGTGCGGCATTTTTGTTCGAACGATGGTGCCAGTCACGGGTCACGGGCCATGTGCCATGCACTTGCATTGTTGGAATATGTCAAAACATGTCTTCTGATTTGGCGCCAGGTGGCAGTGGCGGCAGTGGCAGTGGGCAGCGGGCAGCGGCAACACCACATTCCGAGATTAGAGTGATCGCGGAAGAAAAGCTGCGTTGCCACGATGGCAGTGGCAACAATAGTGTGCTTGTAGATTGTAGCCTTCCCCCCCGCCTCCCAGTAGTGCAATCCAAACCGAGCCCTAAACTCCTAAACGTTGCCTTTTTGCCCTAAACCTCAAAACGTTTTTTTTTTGGAACTGTGAGACGTGAGAGATCTGTGAGTCGAAGCGTTGCTTTTGGATGTTTCTCACGGCCCAGAATCAGGGGGCCCATATGCCAATATGCAACATATGCATTGTATTTGATTTGAGCCGGCTTCCGCAAAATAAGTCTGAGCCGTGATCGAAACTAGTCCAAACTTCACACTTGATGACTTGATGTGTCTTATTCTTATATCTTGAGTTTCGATGTCATTTCAGCACACTCCTCAAACGACAAGCAGCTTCCTAAAGCGGATTTAGGGCTGGCAAGGGACGGGGAACGGGGAAAGGACGGGGAACGGGGGAATCGCGCTCTAACGGCGCACCATGATTCTGTTTGTTTTGGTTCGCAAAGACCGGCGCTTTGTTGTGGTGTGTGGGCCTGCTGCACTGTTGTCCACGGCGGGCTGCCGACTCTCCTGTCTTTCTTGCTTGGTTTAGTCACCGAAGTCCCGCGCCACACCGCCTGAGCCAGTGATGTTTGCGACGCTTTTCTGCTTTCCCGTATTTTTGGGCTGCACGGGACCCGGAAAGAACCTCCCCAGAGGCCTTCTGGAAAACTAACACCTACAATGGGAAGTGGATCGACGGCTCCGTTGGTCTTTCGATAGGGGGGTGGTCGCGCTCCACCATCCCGCCGTTCAGCCTACCAATTTTATTTACCTTTCTGAGTACCAAGGCAGGTTTCGAATCTATCTACCCTTGGCGGCAGAGTCGCTGGGGTTGAGTCCGGCGACACAATTGCCTCTCCAACCTGCAGGACTACTGGCAGGCGCCTTAGCGAGGGTTCGGCAGTGGAGCCAGCTCGATGGCTACAACATACGAGAAGCTCTCTCGGTGTGGTTACCGGGGCCACGCCGCATCGCTCTCTGGTACCCTGAGCGCCTTCACCTGCCCGGCACATATAGGCTCGAGGGGATTCATGCGGAAATCGTTCGGAGGAACTTTGCGAGCGTGGTGTCGGACAGGGTGAGGCACTTCGAGCCGTATATCCTTGGTGAAAACCTTCCCATCGAGGAATGGGTGTATGCGGCCAGGACATTCATGGAGCAGGGTGGCCTCGCTGAGGGCCTTCAGTATCCCTTCCTGGGATACAAGCTAGTGCCCGGTACCATAGACGCACCCCGCCGCATATTTTCACCAGGCCGCAACTGCTTGGGCACTACCGCAAAGAGTGGCCCTTCTTGTATGCTTTGAACGATGAACATATGGCTGATGCCTCTTACTGGCGACAACATCTTAATGACATTGCGGATCGCTACTGGGCTTATCATGCCCCGGCCGTCTGGCCCTCTCTCCGGTCGGCGCGCAGATCGAGTAGTGCACACCGCAGGCCTTGGTGATAGGCCGTCTGTTGCGACTTGCAAGCCGCGAGCCATGTTATTGGTGGCTAGCCCAGAAGCTGCCATTGCTTGGATCTATGTCTGGTTGGAGCCCAGGCTGGATACCCGGGCCATTCGGCTTTGCGGTCGCTTAAGGAACAACGCGAGACAGAGCTGAGAACGGGGTGAAGGCCCCATGCCGCTCAGTTTTGAAAAGCACTAACGTTCCGATGCGCCGCACAGGTGGACTGCACCTAATTGAAGGTATGTTTACTGTGCTTGCCTCGACGGTGGAGCAATACCCGGGCCATTCGTCTTTGCGGTCGCTTACGGACTAGTGCGTAGCGGTAGATTGATTGTGACCTCGTCGTCAATTGCAGCTTTGGCACTGATTGCGAGTTTGCAGGCCCATTTTTCTGCCATGTTGCAGCGCTTGGACCAATAAGCGACGGTTGCCTCCTGACGCCAGTGCATCTCCGTCTCTTGCGAGCAGCCGTGCTCTGGATGCGGAGTGGATGACCACCTTGATCGTCAGGCGAACACAACCAAAGGTTCTTCGGCCTGTCCAATGTGGCCTATTGGAGAGGTTCACTACTGGGAGCCTTATCTGTCTCATTTCAGTGTGCCTCTGCACTTGGTCGGCATCCCATGCTCTGATCTCCTCTGGGATTGCAAGCGGCTGGCGAGCCTTGTTGCCGCTCTGACACATTGCACGCTTACTTATGCATGTCATGCTGTCTTCCTATGCCATGATGTGCCGCTATGTGCCATTGCGCGACCCATGCTTTACGGGAAGCGG